TAAAATAAAATGTTATTAATTACTATTGCATATTATTATATTAAATAATATAGTATTTTATTATATTAGTATTTTAATATTGTTAAAATGTATACTATAACTATATTAGGTTGCACCAAACATTTTTTTTTTTTTACTTAAACATCATTTGAGATCAAGTAGAAATAACTCCTTAAAGAAACAGCTGCATATTTTCTCACTTTTTACAACATATAAGTACATTTGGTTACTTGTCATTTAGAAGATGCTTTCTATGGGAGTTCCCCTGCGCTTAATTACAAACAAATGTTTTAATTGCATTTATTAAATGTATTTATTCATAATTAAAAAGATTTAATATATTTAAAAAAACTAAAATATAATATTGTGTAATTACTAACATTTCCTAAAAATGTTCATTTTAATTTACAAAGCTGCAAAAGTATTATTATACATATTCATATTTTATCGATTCTGTTACAAATCAAGTATTAAAAGCACTTATCAGAAATATGGTACTTATTTGTCTGTAAAATACTTACATCTCTGATTCCGCTTCCTTTTATGCATTGTTCTTCTGTACATGTCCATTAGGTTGTGCATACAATATTTTGAGGAATAAATTATTCCTTTCCCTTGAACTCACTTCACCGTAGTGACACTGTGAGAGACTGACTGAACAGAGTTCAGCATACAGGCATGCACCATTCCAGACCGTACCACCAACACATAACGGGGGTGTTGACAAATATGCAATAAAAATATGAAAAGAATCGAAACAATTATAATGTACTAATCAGGACCCAATAAATACTGTGGTTTTGCATCAATACAAACAAAATAAATACATAAATAAATAAAACATTATTTAAGACCATATATACTGTATAAGAACATACATATCTTTTACAAACATATACAGTATGGATAAATGTATGGCTAAATATATATCAACAGTAGATGCAGTTTATACTCTTGTCTCAGATTGTCTCTGATCTTGGATCATGTTGTACATCAAAAGAACAGCATCCCACAGCTGCTGTCATTCATTTGAAAAATCTTGGTAGTTATTGACATTATAAGCCCGGAGGCTATTCATGCAGAAATATGATTTTTCCTTTGAATTAAAGACAGGCTCTGAAATTGAATACATTGTGATGCCTTCATATCTGTCAGAGGGTTTCAGATACTGAAAAACAAATTATAGTGACATGAACACACAAACACACACACACACACACACACACACATCCGCTGTGACACTGATATTCTTATAAAAGCTTTTTATAAGACAAGCTACAGAAAATAATGATTCGAAGATTGTAAAGTCTGGAGATTCTAAATTGTTAGAAAAACTTAAGGTCATATTTCTGACTTATACTCTTTTTAATGCTTACGTAAATCTTGAGTTTGATACAATATGTTTTATTCATAGGTGTTCTTCAGATATTCAGACAAATATCAGATGGTGTTTTTATGAGATTTTAGAATTCCTCTGGAGTACTTTTAGATTCTGCTATACTTTAGAGTAAAATCAATCTGCATGAATTGAATAAGGTCAAGAGTTATGAATAAATCCTCCAAAAAAAGCATTTGTTATGAGTTGTCTTTGCCACTGCAGTGCCATGGATGTCTACGGTATATTTATATTGCCGTCTAGTGGTTGACATTGGCCAATTTCCATTCAGTAAAATGACATTTTGATATTTAGAAAAAAACACTGCAAAAAAATGGCACACTGCATCTCATTTAGTCAACAAACATATAGCATTGCAATAATTTAATTAATGAGACTCCATAATAAAATGCACGTATTAAAAACAGACTTTCTCCTCCACTGCACTATTTGTATATACATTTTTTCAGCTTTACGGTTCATGCCAGTTGACCTGTACTTCCTCTTGCCAACACAAGGGGGAAATAAAACACTGTAAATATGAGTCAGACAAATGCACTCACTTTCTACACCCTGGAAAAATAGTTAGGATAGATTCTTGAAACTAAAGATTTCTCTACTTTCTATGTACAAAACATTTTAGTAGCAGCATAGCCTTGCTAATTCAACAGGAAAGGGCTGCTTGATTTTCCAGTTTAAAATGTCATTTTTTGTTTGTTGTTGCTGTTGTTTTGTTAAAACTGTCAAATTTACAGACTTTCCTGTAAAAAAAAACGTTGACTTTTTATTTTTTAAACAGAATTATTCTGGTAACCACAGCTGCCTGTTCTTTCTGTAGAACTGACAGGAATTGATTGATTGATTGATTTTACATTGTATGTTTATTTTTAAAAATACTATGCTGATTTGGTTACTATTTTTTAAATAACTATATTAAAATGTGGAGCAGTGATCTCCCAAACTGACAAGCTGAAAGTGCCCTAAACCATCCAAAGCCATTTGAATTTTTCATCAAAATACTTTTTTTTTTCTTCTGAAATTAAACAAAACACTTTGCTGGTTACAAATGCTCAGCTCTGTATAAAATCAAGCAACTAATATTTTTTCACAAGGAAAGATCAAGTCATCTAAAAATAAATAAATAAAGCAGTTCAAAAAAAGGTAACAGTAACCTTAAGGAAAATCAGTCCAGCACAAAAGACCCACTGCTGCAACAGTGACAGCAGGAGTTTCATTTTTAATAAAGGATGATGAATATTTACCAGGTAGTCATGGGAACTGCTATGACCTAAGAACAACTGTCTCTGTGTCTGTAGATCTCACACCTTTCTTTCCTTTTCTCATTTTCTCCTGCTCTACTTTTTTCTACCTTCCTCCTCATTGAAATCATTGTCACCTGTTTGAGTCCAATCATTTACATCAATAAAAAGATAAATAAATTTCACTTACCTAAGGTCTGTCCAACAAGCACCCTGGTGTTCTCACCAGCCACAGCCAATCGAGCGTTCCTCTCGTAGGCATACTGGACGAAAGCAAAGCCCTTGTGCACAGAGCAGCCCGTAATCTTGCCATACTTGGCAAAAATGAGCTCAATGTCAGTTTTCTTGATCACAGCAGTGTTGAGGTTACCAATGAACACTCTTGAATTCAGAGAGCGAGGATCTGTCTTGTTTGTTATATTGCTGGTTTGAGTTTTCCCAGTCATTCTTCTCAGGATGTCCTGAAACATACATAAAAACAACATTAAAGGAAACTGTTTGAAACCTTAACATTGATATTTTTCCAGAAAACACAAAAGAGAACTTTAAAATAATAATTTTATAATAAGCTTTTTAAAATGCTTTGGCTGTGACCAACTCCAGAAGCTCTTATGACACCACATCTGTCTTTGACAGACAGGTCGACATGTAACCAGACTCTGCGGCAACTATATCAGCCAGGTCGACCCCTGCCAAAGTAATTATAGAGAGATTTCTTCCCGTACTTGTGCTAGGAAGGAAGTGCTGGTGAAACACCTCACTCTGTTATCAAAGAACCCGGGTTTACATTAGTATACCCATTATTCTTTTTCTAACTTCACTCGGTGTTTCACTTTGGGAGATATAGACCACTCCCGGATTGTACCCATATCACCCATAACAATTAAATGGGCCCAGACCTACTGGCTACCAGCACTGCATGTGCTCAGGATGGCTCAGACACGTCCAGTCTATAGAACTGCACAAAAGTGTGTGGCATAGCCCTACTAGCTGCTGAACAAATATCTGGAACAGAAACTCCCCTGAGTAAGGCCCACGATGTAGCCGTACCCCGTGTGGAATTGACTCTCGAGCCCTATTTCAGTTGTTCCAATTGTTTACCAAATACACCATTTTTAATTACAGAGATCCAATGCTTATGGATAAGTCTTTCTATAATGGATTTCAAGTCCTCATAATTTAGTAGTGAGTTATTGAGTTTCCAGTATCCTCCAATAAGTCTATGATTTTTACGTCCTGATAATACAATTTTAAAGCTAATGATTTTATGGTCAGTGAAAGCAGCCGGCAGTATAGATGTATCTATAATAAAAGGCTCTAAGTCTGAAGAAACCAACCAAAAGTCAATACTGGATTATTGAGAAATTTTTGTTGCTCCAAGTAAACTGCTTAGTTGAGGTTTTTTTTTTTTTTTTTTTACCCTCTAAATATCAATTAAGTCAAGACTGTAACTTAAACGTAAAAGATCACTAAACTCACTGTTTGCTCTAGGAGGGAATCTATCCATGGAACCATTAATGACCAAATAAAAGTCACCTCCAATAATTAATTTAGCATTAGGGTTGTTTTTCATGGTCGAGTTAACACAACTTTCAATTTCACCTAATAACAAAGTGTTTGCATCTTTTGAACAGTACCCATAAACATTAACTATAATGAATTTACAATCATTCACATAAATCAGTAATATTATCCAATGATCTTTAGAATCCCCTTTGCTCCACACATATTTTCCATGGAAAGTATGTGCTAAAATTGCAACTCCACCTGAGTGACTGGAGCCATGAGCTAACCACATTTCACCTCCCCATTGGTTTTTCCAAAAATTTAAGTCCTCACAAATGAGCCTCTTGAATGAAAATTAAGTCACTTTTGTATTCTTTGCAAAACAAGAAAAAAGGCTTTTGTTTGGACTAAGTTCCTCAAACCTCTGGCATTAATAGAACATAACTTTAAGACCATCAAACACGGCAAACTCGAACAAATAAAAAAGTATTATTAAAGAGAAAGAAAAAAAAGAAAGCTCTGCTTTTCTGTTTCTAAATTTGGAAATATATGCAAACAGCCAAATGGTAATTGTAAACTAAATAGTAAATAAAAAAGTGCTTATCTTCGAAACAATCATCCCTGATTTTGCTTCAAGCGAGCAGGAATCAAGTAGTATCCATTTTTTCTGGAACATTTCTCTTCCGTCAATGTATGCTTTAGAGCCGATGAAGTAAGCCTTTTTCCCTTCATTGCCTGCTTTTTGTACATAAGGTCATAGCAGTGCACAGGACGCTTTTTCTTCTTTTGTCAGGTCTTCTCCGAAGCATAGTTTGCGTTATTTGAGGTAGTCACTGTTTTTTGCACTTTTCCAGATGAAGTCTCTCACCCAGCAAAGCGCAAAAAGGAGGATAATGGCCCTCGCTCAACCCCACACTGGCCTGCCCAATCTGTGAGCTACATCCACCGCCTCACTCATCCTTGCCACGAGCTCAGGTTACCACTCCCTTGCAGATCTCCGTCACCTTGACCTTGCATTTTGAAGGAGTAATAGCCAAAGCCTATACAGAGAAACGTACAATACGCCATCTTGTCGCCCACCCCCAGCCTGTTGATGAGACAGAACAGAACACAACCTCTGCTCTGTGTGATACATAGGAGTTCTGGATGAACGGTGAGTAATACATCATTTCTGTGGACAATAGTCATAATTCAGAAAAAAAAATGACTGCTGAATTTACCTACTATAATTAGTAAATTCATCAATGTAGTATTTAGCCTTAACTCCACATTTTTTGCTTAACTCATTTATAAAAATACCTACTGTATGAGATCAGGTCTAGATATAATAAATGGATTGTCCCACTACCATTGTAAAAAATTTACTTTTTTAATTTTAAAATTATAGAGCAGTATTTGCCTGAAACTGATTTTAAGGGGCATTTGAGAGCATTACCTTACAAAAAAACATGGCAAGTCAAATAATTCAAACATACTAAGGACATGCACTCCACCCATTCACACCCTCCATATACAAAAATACTAATACATCTACAGCTAAATGTCTAACTTGCATTTTCAAATCTTCCTTACTATTGCTAATATTCTGCAGTTGCAATAAATGGAACGAAAACAAAAGATATTGTTTGCTGAGCTCTATTTATATACCTCTTTAAACATGATCCTGTGATCCTGTCAGAATTCTTTTAAACACTCTTTTTATGTATGCAGAGACTATAACATCTGGCAGATGCGGCAGCACTAGGGTTGACACCAGAGAAGACACCAGTCCGGATGAGCTGTGAGGAGCACTAGAGTGTGAGAATGCTGAGACGTGTTAAGTTCACACTCAAAAAAAAAGCTTCTGATATAATGCTTCTCCTGTCTTTCGCTGCAAGTGATAACAAAGCGTTTCTTCAGGAATCCCACCTGCATTCTCTTGCATGTATTAAATGTAAATATAACCAATAGTGCAAAATTATTGTTGTCAAGGGTTTAGCTGACATAAAGTACTGTCTACAACAGGGATCTCCAACCCTGCTCCTGGACAGCTGTCCTGCAGATTTCAGCTCTCATCTGAACCAGATAATCAGGGTTACTTGACAATATTGGAGCAAGGCTGGAATGGAAGTTTGCAGGAAGGTAGCTCTCCAAGAGTAGGGTTGCCCTGCTCTATAGGTTTAACTCGAAAAGAAAAGAAAAGAAAAGAAAAGAAAAGAAAAACGGTTTATCATGGGGAGACTGTTTCAAAAGTGAAAAATCCACTTTCACCTACAATTATGAAATGAAAACTGAATTTTCACAGCATTTAGCCCATGTCTGTTAGCTTTAAGGCTTCCTACACTATGTGTTTGGGGTCAGTAGGATTTTTTAAAATGTTTTTGAAAGAAGCTTCTAATGCTCACCAAGGCTGTATTTATTTGATTAAAAATACAGTAAAACAGTAATACTGTGAAATATTCTTACAATTTAAAATATTGTTGTATACATTACTATAATAATAAATGTTCAGCAGCCATTACTGCTGTCTTCAATGTCACATGATCCTTCAGAAATCATTCTAATATGCTGATTTGGTGCTCACGAAACATTTCTTATTATTATTAATGTTGGAAACAGTTGTTCTACTTAATATTTTTGTGGAAACTGTGATACATTTTTAAGTTTACTCAGATGAATAGAAAGTTCAAAAGAACAACATTTATTTGAAATACAGATCTTTTGTAACATTACAAATTACAAACCTAACCCTAACTATTTTTATAAAGAAGGAACAATGCAACTTTCTCAGATTCCTTCATATCAAATCTACCATTCAACTCACTAGAAACAAAAGAACTATTTCATCTGTGAGACGGTGAGTCAACTTCTTTGACTGATCCCCAGCAACACCAGAATCCTGCTCTCATGATTTCTACTGAATCACTGATGCATGAAAACCTTTTGCTTCCCTGTGTTAACAATAACCTCACCCCATTCTCTCAGGCTGACAGGCATGGCAGAGCTCTGGCATTGTGACTGGACATAACATTTCAATTCCCTTTCAAACTCCATCACTTCACCAGCTCCACTGAGCCCTTGCACAGTCTGTTATTCTATTATACATTCCTCATTCAAACACTCTCTACTCCCCACACAGTACAGTACTTCACACTTCTCCTAGATTTGTTGGTTAAGGGTGAATGTACGTGACCATCAAAATCAAATAAATGTGGCATCAAGCCATCTCCATTCTCCATTAAAAACATCTCATTTATGTAAACACATTTTAATAGTTTAAATTTAGTTATGAATTAAGTCAGCTTTAATTATATATACCGCTTTATACAATACAGATTGTTTCAAAGCAGCTTCACAGTTATTAGTAGATATTAGTATTAGTATATTAGCAGGTTGAAATTTACACAATAAATATTGTTATTTTTTCATTATATAAGGCTCCTTACCTAACTGTCAGCTAAAACCATTGTTTGTTTTAAATTTATAATTGAGGTTCAGTTATTAAATGTAAAATGACCAAAGAGGACTTCACATTAATTTTATAGAGTTCATCTTGTTGCTAGTCTAATTGTTCTGTATTGCAACAGGCTTTTCTTTTTTTGTTTTTTTTAAATAGCGGAATATATTATAAAATTACCAACTCAAATCAGTTTTTTTTTAAATGTCCACATACAGTGCAGTACTAACAGCTTCTGATTCTAAACTTGTGTTTATATCTCTTTATGGCTGTACAGTATAACTCTACAGTAGCTGTTCCTGATGCTGTGCTTGTCCGAATGACAGTTTCTGCATGAAAACTCTCAAACACTTCACACAGAATACATAAAAAACAATGTGAGACATCATCACAACAGCTCCTACCAATCCACTATACAGCACACCTCACCTACACTAAGCATTCACATCTACATTCATGAGATAATGAAGGATCATTTGATGTTTGCGATGTTCTAATGGAAATCGCAAAAGCAATAGAAGGCATAATGTTCTTTTGTTAACTATTTAGTGCCATGACATTCTTTTTAAAACCTTGCTTCTGGCATTAAGCAGACTTTTATTTATTCCTACAAAGTTATTCCCTCTGCTGGGTGATCCCAAATAGAGAGTAAATTCAACCTGGCATGTGTAATTGGGTCACTAGAGCAGTGACTAATTAGCTGGTAACACAATGAACTGCAGTTGACCTGACAGGTGCATTGCTTAGAAGAGACAATACAGGGTCAATGCAAGGTTGAAATCCATTCACTTTTACATGAACAGTGCGGATGACGCCATCCAGGACACTGAAATAGTCTCAAAACATCTCAATATAACAATAGAGTCTGTTGACATCACTAATAACTCTGAAAACAATATTATTTCCCTGTGGTTAATTTTTTTTTTTTTATTATTGTGAATGAAACATTTAAAATATGCAAAAACAAACTCACATATGATTACATTAAAGGGGTAATTCATTGCTTGCAAGATGGGGTTTTAACTTTCGTGTTGTGATGAAAATCTTTTACCTAATTTGTGTAATTTGGTCAAAATTGCTTGCAGCTCTCTCATTATGCTATATTATCACCAAATCTTGGATTCAGTCTTTGTCTTGTTTTCTTTCAATTAGCACAGGTTTTGTATTTGTAACTGAAAGAAAACATGTTGATGAAAGACTTCAGCACCCATAATGCACCTGGCTTGATCAGACTATCTGTGAGCAGGGATACAAAAATGTGGAAGAACAATCTGTAGGTTTCACAAAATCCGGCTGTCAAAAGTACACCTGATGATGCTTTTTACATTACTCAGCTGACTTGACTAGTAATTGGTGAAGGTAACAGAAAAATAATACACATTGTTCATTTACTTGACTGCCGATATTGTAACAATACAAAGCTGATTGAAAATCAGTGAACTCTCCCTTTAACAAAAAATTTTGAACAGGCGAGAAACTTCCACAAATACTAAATGAAAAGATTTGTGGGAGATTTAATCACTGCTAAATGGGTCATAGCCTGCTAGGTACAATTACTGCAGTGCCAAAGTCAATGAGGTCTGAGGATGATGGTTTATTCCGAGTAGGAGCAGACTCCATTTATCTCTTCATTCTCCATCTACAATGAACTTCCAAACAAACCGGAGGAATTAAATCACAATAGAGCATTGTGAAGATAGAAGACCAGACAGTAGGGGGATTCAGTGTGAAGCCTAATAGGCTGTGTTTCTGATATAACATGACAAAATTGGGTGGTTTATGCAATTGTCCTCCTCCTACTCACGTTTCTATTCTCAATAATGCTAGAGAGAAAGAGTATCTTTCATCCTGTGTAGGTGTCTACATAATAAAAGTTTGCTGGAAGAGATGTCCTGCATGGGAGTTTAGGGTTTCTCTGACTAGATAGAGATATTTCTGCCATCTCTACAGAAGCATACGTCATGATACTTACATCTTATTCCTGCTATTAAAACTGATATATATTGTTGTATATATATGCAGGTGCATCTCAATAAATTAGAATGTCGTGGAAAAGTTCATTTATTTCAGTAATTCAACTCAAATTGTGAAACTTGTATATTAAATAAATTCAATGCACACAGACTGAAGTAGTTTACATACTTTTATCTGTATTCATGTTTGTACGCAGAGAGTGAAGCTCTAAGGAAGACTCAGGAATTCTGTCCCGGTATCGTATGGTAGATACTCCCATCCTTTCTAGAATGCCCAATGAGAGATAAGCCTTACTCGGGGAAAGGATATTTCATGGCTGGCTTCCCCCACCTGTCCCTTACTGACACATTCTGAATAGTAAATCATTCTTTTCAGAATAACATACATCTTCTGCACTATATTCTCGACTCTAAAAGAACAATATAGATTAAAGAAAATGGGTTTGCAAGAAGACTGTGAGCATCTTATCTAGTTGAAGACATGACTGAATTATTATGCTTTAGCCCCTGTGCTTGTACAAAAGAAATATTGCAACTGGCTGAATAAAAAGAAAGGCAACTTTCATGAAAGTCATGAGATTTTTATTTTTTTTTCAAACTTAATTGGAAGTTTGGACTTTCCTTCTCAATAGTATCCCCTCATAGACCAATCATTTCAGACATGATTTAACCTCCTGAGACCCTGCGTCCTCATATGAGGACATTATATTTTAGTGAATTTCTATATAGAGACTATACATGCCACAGTTTTAAGTCTGGATGTCCTGTACAGAGCACATTCAGGGCTTTTCAGAGATACTAAATGTTTGGATGTTTCACCATGACCACTCCTTCTCCTTGGTCTTCAAAAATGTCTGAAATGTATCAAAAAAATAAATTGCTTTTGCCTATGCATGTTCATTCATGTCTTTTTATTTTATTTTATTTTTTAATTGAATCCCGATGTCCTCTACCAAGGACGTAGCATAACTTATGAATGAAATATCATTTTAAAATGTAAAAAAAAAATTTGTTTTTTTAATGCTCTAAACAATGTAATGACATGAAAAAAAAATAAAAAAATTCTAAAATGTTTTGCCAGGTCTCAAGAGGTTAAATAATGTCCAGTCCAGTCCAAAAATATGTATGGATGCAATGAATGAGATTGACCAACTGTGAAATGCAACAGATTGAAATAAATGAAGTGACAAACGCAGCCATTATTACACATTGCAGATTCAAAACGTTTTTCATTTCACATTATAGGTTCTTCAAATAAACTAGGTGTATTAGTTTCTGAGTCCTTTAAATCACAAGAACATACAGTAGATGTTTTAAAGAACGAGAGAACACTTAAGAAGGTTTTAATTTGGATAAAAAAAAGATTAAAA